TAGTGAGACTCCATCTGTGCCCAAAAAAAATTTTTTTTTAAATTAGGTATGTATAGTGGCACTCACCTGTAGATCTAGCTACTTGGGAGGCTGAGGCAGGAGGATTACTTGAGCCCAGGAGTTAGAAATTACATGGAGCTATAATTGTGCCACTGTACTCCAGCCTAGGTGACAGAGCAAGATCCTGTCTCTAAAAAAAAAAAAAAAAGAAAAGGAAAAAGAATATTTAATATTTCTTAAATTATACCTGTAAGACTGTGATATTCAGGAAAGGCTTATGAAAAAGAATAGTAAATTGAAGCCATTAATTTTTCTACACTATGTATTTCTTTCTTATATATTCTTAATTTTTATTGTTACTTTTGATTTTTTTTGTAGGTAAGGTCTTGCTCTTTCCTGCTTATATATTCTTAATTTTTATTTTTAAAATTATATTTCCTTCTTAATATATTCTTAATTTTTATTTTTACATTTGATTTTTTTGTAGGTAAGGTCTTCCTCTATTTCCCAGGCTGGGATGTGGTAGTATGATCACATGTCACTGCAGCCTTGAAATTCTGGGCTCAGGTGGTCCTCCTACCTCACCCTCCTGAGTAGCTTGGGCTACAGGTGTGAGCCACTGCATCTGCTCTGTATTTCCTTTTTAAGGTATATTAATCTGCTATGAAAAATGTAAAAAAATTGAAATGTGACAATGATAGCATAAAGGCTAGGTGAAAATTAGCACTCTGTTTCATCTTGAATTTTGGTAGTTACATTTTTACTTTTTTTTTTTTGAAATAGTTTCATTGTTTAAACATTTTCATTTTGTTCTGTAGCTATCACTCTTGTAGTCTTAATTCTATATTTAAATGAGTTAAATGCTTATCATCAATTGCTTTATCACAGTTTTCCCATTCCTTTATTGTTAATTTTGATTATCCCTTGATTGGCTGCATTTTATCATTAAGCTGTTTTTTTTTTATAGGAAGGACTTAAAATGCCTCCTTTCTTGAGCTTTTATTTACCTCCTATTGCTTTTACATAAATGACAACTCATTTGGTGTAATATTTTTCAAAACAAAATTGATTGATTGATTTCAAAACAAAATTGGTTGATTTTTATTTGGTCTTCATTATTTCCTTTTTTTCCTTCTTTGGGGTTCATTTGTTGTTGTTACTCTCCTTATTCTGCCTCCCACTACCTCTCCTTATTCTTTTAGTTTTTTTCTTAAGGGAGAAGAGTAATTCATTGATTCATCACTTTTTTTTCTACTAAAGATGTGTTCTTAGTGTATACATTTCTAAGGATTAATCTGGCTGCATCACATGTATCTTGATATGTCATGTTGTCATTTTCATTCACTTTGAAGTACTTTCTAGTTTCTCTTTTAACTACTTCTTTGGATCATGGGATACTTAGATGTCTGTTATTTAATATCTAGATATGAGGACTTTCCAGAGATCTTTCTCTCATAATTATGAATTGGTGTATTTATCTCTCATATTCTATTAGTTTTCACTTATGTTGAAAATCTGTTGTCATGTGCATAGGTTGCAAGGTTCATTATTTGGCCTGTTTTTCATTATGAAATATGTATCTCTGCTAATATACTTTACTCTGAAATTTACTGTCTGATATTAATATAGTCAATCGAACTTTCTTTTGATTATTGATATCATATTATATCTTTTTCCTCTCTTTCACTTCTAACCTATTTATGTCTTTATTTTTTAAAGTGCATTTCTTATAGACAACATAGTTGAGTCTTATTTTTTGTCCAATCTGACAGTGCCTCCCTTTTAATTGGAATGTTTATACCATTCCAATTATCAATATAGTTAGGTTTGATTTTATAATCTTGGTATTTGTTTTCTATTTGTCTCATGTGTTCTTCATTCTCTTTTCTCTTTCCTGCTCTCTTTTGGGTTAATCTTGTGTTTTTATCTTCTTCGCTGGCTTAATCTCTGTCTTTTGGTCTTACTTTAATGGTTGCATTAGGATTTATAGTGCACATCTTTCATCACGGTTTGCTTTCACATATATTATTAAAGAACCTTATAGTGATATACTTCCATTTGCCTCTCCTAACCTTTATGCTATAACTGTAACATTTTAATTTTTCTTTTTTTTTTTTTTTGAGATCGAGTCTCGCCCTGTCACCCAGGCTGGAATGCAGTGGTGCAGTCTCTGCACACTGCAACCTGCGCCCCATGGGTACAAGTGATTCTTGTGCCTCAGCCTCCCAAGGAGCTGGGACTACACAGGCACATGCCACCATACCCTGCTAATTGTGTGTGTGTGTGTGTGTGTGTGTGTGTGTGTGGTGTTTTGTTTTGTTTTGTTTGTTTTTAGTAGAGATGGGTTTCTCTATGTTGGCCAGGCTGATCTCAAACTCCTGGCCTCAAGTAATCCACCTGCCTTGGCCTCCCAAAGTGCTAGGATTAGAGGCATGAGCTATTGTGCCCGGCCTTAATTTTTTTTTTTCAACTTTTTTTTTGCTTTGAGACAGCATCTCACTCTGTGGCCTAGGCTGGAGTGCAGTGGCACAGCCACGGTTCACTGCAGCCTCAACCACATGGGATCAAGTGATACTCCCACCTCAGCCTCCTGAGATGCTGGGACTTTTTTTTTTTAATTTTTTTGTAAATGAGCTTTGTTAATATATAATTCTCACAACTTACAACACATTTTACTTCTACATATATATTATAAACATCATAACATTGCTACTAGTTTTGTTTAAATTGTCATGTATCTTTTTTTTAAGACTTAATAAGAAAATAAAGCATATTTTTACTCATGTGATTACCGTTTGTAGTTATCTTCATTCCTTTTTGTTAGAATCAAATTTCCATCTGGTATCATTTTCCTTCTGCCTAAAGGGCATTCTTTAATATCTCTCGTATTTGGATCTGTTGGTAATAAATTCTTTCAGCTTTTGTATGTTTGAAAACATCTTTATTTCACCCTCATTTTTGAAAGACATTTGTGCCAGATATATAGTTCTAGTTTGACAGTTTTTCAGTACATGAAAAATGTTACCCCATTGCCTTCTTACTTGCATGGTTCTTGATTAGAAATCTGACGTTCTTTTGTTCTTCAATATTTCATGTCCCCTACCACCTATATTTTGCTGCTTTTCAGATTTTCTGTATGAGGCCAGGTGCAGTGGCTCACACCTGTAATCCCAGTGCTTTGGGCAGTCAAGATGGGAGGATGGCTTTTGAGGCCTGGAGATCAAGATTAGCTGAGGCAACATAGTGAAACCCTGTTCCTACAAAAAATACACAGAAAATTACTGGTTTTGATCAGCTTGGTTATGATAGGCCTTAGTGTATTCTTCTTCATGTTTCTTGTGCTTGGGTTTTGTTTAACTTAGAGCTATGGATTTTTAGTTTTTATTATGTTTGGAATATTTTCAGCCATTATGTATCTTCAACTTAGTTTTCTGACCCTTTCAGGCCACTTGAAGTTGTCTCCTAGCTCACTGATACTCTTTTTTTTATTTCGTCTTTTTCTCTGTGTTTTATTTTGGTTACTTCCTTTCCTGTGCCTTTTAGTTCACTAATATTTTCTTCTGTAATACCTGAACTGTCATTAATCTTATCAAATAAATAAAACTAAATATTCCCTTCTACTGGGGCAAGACTTTTGTTATTACTCCATGGCATAGAGTACTAAGGGGTCTCCAGTCCCTGTTACTGCAACAGGAACTGTCCTCAGTTCCTGTTAGGAACCAGGCCACACAGCAGGAGGTGAGTGGCCGGACAGCAAGCATGACCACCTGAGCTCCACCTCCTGTCAGATCAGCAATGGATTCTCATAAGAGTGCAAAGCCTATTTTGAACTGCACAAGTGAGGGATCTAGGTTGCATGCTTCTTATGAGAATCTAATGCCCAATGATCTGAGGTGCAACAGTTTCAACATGACACCATACCCCTTACCCCTGTCCGTGGAAAAATTGTCGCCCACAAAACCGGCCTCTGTTGCCAAAAGCATTGGAGACTTTGATGAGTTTTTCTGCTCTAGGTCTTGACAACAAATGTATGTGTATCTCAGGTACTGTTCCCTCTATTTTTTTTTTTTTCTCTCTAATACTTTTGGATGTTTCTTTCCCAGGTGTTGACCTGGTAAATCTTTAAGAAAAGACCCTCTGGAGATTTCCATGTTTCTTTGTAAGTCTGTCTTTCTGTTCTCTGATATTGTGGCCCTTCAACTCTAACTGCTCTGAAACTCTCAGACTCTCAGTTCTGTTTCTTCAACTCACTGGAATCTACTACAGTTCTCCTCCTTATACCATATTCTGGAAACTCTTGAAATAAACTGCTGTAGTCATATGGCTCACCTCCATTGTTTCCCATCTCTCAGAGATCAGTATTTTTTCTTCTTGATGTCCAGTGAATTAAAAAACATTGTTTCTTCCATTGTGTTCTAGTTTTGCTGTTGTTTCATGATAGGGAATAAATCTGTTTTCTGTTCCTCTACTGTCTTCTGCTTTGCATTGTTTTTGAAAGAAAGCCTGCTGCTATTCTTATCGCTGTTCCGTCTTACCTAATATGTCTTTTAACCTCCTCTAACTGCTTTTAAGATTTTCTGTTTATCACTGGTTTTAAGCAATTTTATTATGATGTACATTGGCATAGTTTTATATTTTGTGTGCTTGGGGTTTGTAATAATTTCATTCACTTTGAAATTATTTTATAATAATTTTTCTCTTTCCACCTCTATCTACCTTTGGGACTCCAATTAAAAATAATAATGCTATTATTAAGTCACTTGTATTTGACCCATGTCTTAGTGATTCTGTTTTCAGTATTTTTGTTTTTCTGTTTGTTCTCCATTTTGAATAATTATTCTCTCCCCCCTTTTTTTTCCCCTCCCTCCCATCCTTTCTGCCCTTGCTTTCTGTCCTTCCTTTCTTTCCTTCCTTTCTTGTTCTCATTCTGTCACCCAAACTGGAGTACAGTGGTGTAACATTGGCACACTGCAACCCCCACCCCCAGCATCCCAAGTAGCTGGAACTATAGGAGTGCACCACCATGCCTGGCTAATTTTTGTATTTTTTGTAGACGCAGGGTTTTGCTATGTAGCTCAGGCTGTCTCAAAGTCTTGAGCTCAAGCAATCTCCCTCCTTTGGCCTCCCAAAGTGCTGGGATTATAGGCATGAGCCACCACATCCGACCTTGAATAATTTCTCTTACTATGAAGTTTACTAATTATTTCTTCTACAATGTTTAATCTGCCATTAATCTTATCCAGTTGACTTTTTATCTCTGACATTATAGTTTTAATCTCTTGAACTTTGATTTGGATCTCTCTTACTCATACCATGTCTCTACATAGTATGCTTATGTTGTCCTGTGCTTATGGAATGTTGTTATAACAATTGTTTTAATGTCCATGTCTATTAATTCTATCACTTTTTTTTCTAATTATTACCTGGGTTTTGGTTGTTTCCTCATACATATGTGTTGAAGACTCTGGAGGAATCCCTTGCATATCTTGAGTTCTCACTTTCCACCTCTTTCTTCTCCAAGCAGCTCTCTCCTCTCCAGTACTGTGCCCTGACATGTGGTAGCCAGCTTTGCCTTCCTGAATGGAAACTACTTGACTCTATTTAGGTTCTTCCTTACTGCTCTACAGCCTGGGAACTCTATTCAAGGTATAAGTTTGAGTAATTGTAGCACTTACCTTATTGTGCCCCTTCTTTGATTATTATCCAATGCCTGGAAATTGTGTTTTCATATATTTTGTTCATTGTTAGCTGTTTAAGATGGGAGTATAAATCTACTCCCTGATCCTTCATGCTGGTTGGAAGTATAAATCTCTAGGTTGATTTTGGCTTTTCCCTTTTTCAGGTAACTTGCTTTTTTCACCCCTCGAAAGTTACCTAATTTTTAAATTTGAGTTTGAATATTTTTCTGTTTTTTGTTTTTGTTTTTTTCCCTTGAGACAGAGTCTCTGTCTGTCGCTCAGGCTGGAGTTCAATGACACAATCTCAGTTCACCGCAACCTTCACCTCTGGGTTTGAGCAATTCTGCGTCAGCCTACCCAGTAGCTGGGATTACAGGGACCCACCACCACACCTGGCTGAGTTTTGTGGGTTTTTTTTAAGTAGAGATGGGGTTTTACCATGTTGGCCAAACTGGTCTCGAACTCCTGACCTCAAGTGATTCACTCACCTCGGCTTCCCAAAGTGCTGGGATTACAGGCATGAACCACCACACCGAGTCTGGATTTTAATTTAATAATAGACATGATTTATCTCTATGTGAATTCTATATTGAGTTTTCTTGGAACATTGTATTACTTTTAAACTGTAGATTTCGCTCCCAGTTAACTTTCTTGTCCCCAAGTATTGTTTCTCCTTTACTTGACCTATTAGGAGTATCAGAAAATGACCATAACCATCAATAAATGAGTTATGGGGAATATTTGAGTAGAAGCAGAAATCCCTAGTTGTGGGAATGTACAGTGGACCCTTGAACAATATGGGGGTTATGGGCACTGACTCCTTCAAAAATCCACGTACGTCTTTTACCTCCCCAAAAACTTAACTACTAATGGCAGTTAATCAAAAACTAGTAAATAGTTGATTAACATGTATTTTGTGTATGTATTATATCCTATATTCTTACAATAAATTAAGCTAGAGAAAAGATGCTATGATATCATATGGAAGAGAAAATATATTTATTACGTGGAAATGGATCATCATAAAGTTCTTTATCTTAGTCATCTTCATGTTGAGTGGGCTGAGGAATGGAAGAAGAGGAGGTGGGGTTGGTCTTCATGTCTCAGAGGTTTGGAGAGGCAGAAGAAAATCTACGTATACATTGACCCACACAGTTCAAATCCATGTTGTTATAGTATCAATTATAATCTTAAATTCATCTTCAGGTTAATTTAATGTCAAAAACACCCTCAGATATTATTCTAGAGTCTATAAAATTTTCTTAAAAATAATTGTGAGGCCGGGCATGGTGGCTCCTGTCTATAATCCCAGCACTTTGGGAGACCAAGGCAGGAGAATCACCTGAGGTCGGGAGTTTGAGACCAGCCTGACCAACATGGAGAAACCCTGTTTCTACTAAAAATACAAAAAATTAGCCGGGCATGGTGGCGCATGACTGTAATCTCAGCTATTTGGGAGGCTGAGTCAGGAGAATCACTTGAACCTGGAGGCGGAGGTTGCAGTAGGCTGAGATCATGCCATTGTACTCCAGCCTGGGCAATAAGAGTAA